TGCACAGGAGGTCGTGGCCAGCTTTGCTAGGTTGGGGGTCCCCAAGTGCATCAGGGCCAATGATAGCACACACATCTCCATCCTCTCCCCTGCAGACTGGCTGAGAACTCATCAGTTGGAATTGCTATTTCTCAACCATGCTTCAAACTGTTGTGGACCACTGTCGGTATTTCATGCATGCAAATGCTGGCTGGTTTGGCAGGATGCCCAATGTCAGAATATTTAGGAATTCCCACTTCCCTCAGCTGATGGAGTGGAAAAAGTATGCCTCTGGCCTGCCTGACACCCAGGCTGAGGGATTGACTGTACAACTGCTACTACTTGAGGACCCTGCCTGCACCCTGTATTCTTGGTTGATGAAGCCATTAACTAGATACCTGGATTCTCAGAAGGACCAGCTCAATTATAGGCTGAGTAGCTGCAAAATGGCTGTGGAGTCTTCTTTAGGGCTTCTCAAGGTTTTTCTGAAGGTGCCTGAGGACATATATGCATGTCAATGAACACAACGTTCAGTTGTCTGTATGTGTGTGGTACAACACTGGCATGGACAAGGAGGGACCTTAGTCTAAGGTCTTGCCCCTGCCACAGGAGGTGGAGTGCCCCCAGCTCTTGCAAGAACCATACTTGTGACTCTGCAAATGGAGATGGGTCACCACTTTTGCATCCTCTGGGTGGAGAACTGTAGACTGCTGCAATTTACTTTATTAAATGCTATCAATTGAATGCATGCTTTTGTGTGGTCATCATCTGCATGGGCATGGGGCAGTGGGGGTGCAGGTCAGACATACTAGAGGGTGTGATAAATATTCATTTGGGTGTCAGGCCCTAGTCCCAGGGCAGTAGCTTGGGTATGTGACCTTCAGCTGAGTGGGTAATGGTCCAGCAAGGTGATGAGCCCTACTCAAATGGCAGTGGCTGCACGAGGAGGAGTTGGTTAAATGATGTATTTTGTGCCCTGGGTGTGAGGCTAGACATGCTGGATATTTATCCCTTTGTGGTCCTGCTATTGGACACTTGTCTGTGGGGATGGCTGAGGCATGAATTTGGAAACCTGTTATTGCCCCATGAATGTGAGAGTGCTGCAGGCCCTATGTGGGCTCAGTTTGCACATGCAACATAGAATACACAGTATGTCCCCAGGTGGTGATGGCCACTGTAAGAGGACTGTTTATGCCATGGGTTACCTTACTGAGCTGTTTATTCCAGCTCCTGTTATGGTGGGCCCTGTGGGACATGATAGTCCTATGGCAGCATGTGTGCCCAGGAGTCCCCGAGCAGTCCTACTTGGAGCTTGAATTACTGGGTGACACAGCAGCAAAGATGCCTTGAGTCTGCAGGCTTAAGGCAGACATGAGGTGATCCATGGACTCTGGTTTGGTCCTCATGGATGCCCTGAATGTTTTCTGTGTTTGTTCATCTATGGCCACACTTTGGTCTCTGCATGCTGCTTGGCAAACCACATAATGGGGCATCACAACTGCATGTATTCCATGCCTGCCCATGGCCAAGAACTGGTAGTGGTACACTCTCTTCCTCCCTCCATCATCTGGCCTCCATGAACCAGGAGAAGCTGCATTACACTATAGAAGCCAGAATATCCATCTTTGTGCAGGCATGGATTTTCCTTTGCTTGAAAGCTTAGTCTCTGACTATCCTTGGCCTGTCATTTAGTCTTAGGATGCCACTGCCACTGTTTTCAAGTATTTTCCCAGAAAATACAGGAGTATGTAGAGGAGTTCATTATCTTCCTTGCTGTTGCCTTGATAGCATGAAGAACTCCCTTAGAAAGTTGCAGCTTGCAAGGCTGTCCAGTCAGTGGGCAGGCTCATTCACTTTTCAGACTCTCAAGTATGGTAAGTTCACTCTCTCTTGTGCTCCCTAGGGACCTGGGAATTGTGCTTGTGCAGCCATTAGGGAAACAGCCATATTGTATAGCCAGGGAGTATGCACAGGAACCCTGTGCTCTGTGGGGGTCCTATGAAATGCAGAAGGCCAATTGAAGATGGTAGGGGAGGTCTGCAGTGTGTAGTCTGTTGCACTGGAACCCTGGTGCCCCTGGTCTATAAGCACAGGATGCCGGGGCCCTGGACTGTGTCACCTTGATTCACCTGAGCCCACTATGGAGGTGGCATCTGTATTTTCGTGCATGCTGTAAACAGTCCAGAGGAGAAAGGACTGGAAGAAGCAAGTCAACTCTGGGAAAGGGCTAGAGAGCCACACAGTCACAATAAGATGTGCAAAAGAGAAGCAAGTAGGTCAGAGTCCAAGATGCATCCAATGTATTTATACAAATAGGAAAAGTGTGGGAATAAATAAGATGACCTGGAAGCTTCAGCATTTGAAAAGAATTAGGAACTGATTGGAAGCACAAAAAGAATGGCAGGAGCCCAATGTGGCTGCAGAACGATCTTCTAGGAATTGACAAAGGTAGGAGGTGCACCTCCTATCAAGCGGCACCAGCAACAGTGTCAGTGGTGCCTGTGGGCAGTCGCCGCTTGTTACCCTCTCCCTTACCATCAGCAGATGCTGCTGGTGGTCAGAGATTGCTGCTGGCCGCTGGCTGCTACCAATGCTACTGGCAGTGTCTGTGGGTTGTTGCCAACTGATGGTCAGTGCTTTCCCCCCTCGCCACTGACAGCGCCGGCAGTGGCTGTGGGAACTCCCTGCTTACTGCCGCTGCGCTCCTGCCACCGCTGCCATGCTCCTGCCACTGCCAGTGCTGCCGTGCCCCACCTGCCACAGGGGGCGTGCATTGTCCATGTTTGTAGGATGCCTCAAATGCAGATTGAAAGCATATAGGCAATGGAAAAATAAGCAGGTGACAAAGGAAGCATACCAGGAAATAGCTAAACCTGCTGGTACAAAATCAGGAATGCGAAGATAAAGAATGAGCTACACCTGGCAAAGGAGGTAGAGACAAAAAGAAGAGATTCTGTAAGTGTGTTGGCCAGAAAAGAAGGATCAAGGAAGTGGTAGGTCCACTAGTAACTAGGCAAGGGGGAACTCTTAATGGCAGATGCAAGGAAGGCAGAACTACCTGACAGCTACTTTGCCTCAGGCTTGACAATAAAATTAAGCTTCAGCCAGACACCCAGTGAGGATAATCTGGATAAGGAGGAGGACAAGCTGAGGGAGGAGATGACAAGACAGACAATCATAGAACTTTGGATGGTTCTGAATAAATTCAGGTCAACAGGACTTGATGCACTTCACCCCAGGGGACTGAAGGAACTGGCAAAAGAGATCTTGGAGCCCTTGGCAATGATCATCATGAATGGGAGATGGGCAAGATACCAGAGGACAGAAAAGGCTCAAGGAAGTGCCACTTTTTTATAAAAAGGCCAAAAGGAGGACCCAAGGAACTACAGACTGGGTAGCCTAACCTCAGTACCTGGGAAGTTACTGGAATATATCTGAAGGAAGACCATTTGGAAGGATCTGAAGTAGTATCTGTGTGTTGAGACTGGGACAAGATAAGAGGTGCTATCGATCTGACCCCAGCTTAGCTTTTAGGGAATAAATCAAAAAGGCTTTAGACAAGCAGCTGCTGAACTGCTTAAGAATGGCTGACATTACATGGCTTAGAGGGAGCAAGCACCCCCTCCTGCTGCTTAATGGGATTGGCAGACTGCTGCTGTGAAGAGACCACCACCATAACAGATGCTGCCACCTGCAGTCCTCCCCCAACTCCCTGCATTGACTCAGGACCCACAACCCACCCTGTAACACATCTATTCCCCATAGTTAACCAACCCTTGATTGCATGAACTGAGATTATCAGTACTGGGGACCAGAGGGTGTACAAAATTGCCTTTTGGGTATAATTTCAGCATTTAGAGCCTGGGACAGTGTGACTAATAATCATTTAAAGAAGTCGGAAACAATACAGCCCTGATCTGTGGCTACTTACAGGGGAACCTGAACTGCCATGGTAGTCTGCTCTGATTGTGGGAGATCTGATCCTTTAACAGATCCAAATGAGAGTTGTGCTGCTTTAACACCTGCTTTGTTTCTCATTCCCTTGCTCTCTCACTCACTCCATCACTCTGCCTGTAATAAGCGGCTTTATGTATCCCTAATTTGTTGTTTGCCAGGACTGCCCATGTCAATCCTGCTGCTTTCTCAGGTGGGGTGGGGGTTGGGGGGAACAAGGCAAGAATCTAAAGTTACTGATCTTCTGGAAATTGGGGACAGGTCCACTTCAGTGTCTGTGCAGCTCTTGTGGCGAATCCTTAATCTCTCTCATTGTCCAGGTTGCTGTGCTGGCCTAGGAGGGCTGCATGTGTTCAGTCATAGCTGGGTTGGAGCTCTTACTATGCTCTTCAGTGGTGCTAGGGGCTGCTGGACCCAACATGTTTTAAGACCTGACAACGTCATTTACTACAAAGATGTGGGAGAGTATCTTGTAGCAGATGCACATGACCTTGCACGTACCTGACACGCAGTTGCTTTCCCATGTCTTCATGAACTGTTATCTCAGTACCTTGCACTTGGAGCACAGCTTGGTTCAGTCATGGTCATGATCCTGGAATGCCATTTCCTTGGGGATCCAGTGATATACCTTCTTGTTTTGTTGGCTTGACTGATTCTTCAGCTTGACCCATAATGGCAATGAGATCAACTACCTTTGGGTAGTCAAATTCTGTGATCAGGATGAGATTGGCCAGACACAGTTAGAGAGGGGCCAGGATTGGGGCGAAGAAGTGCATGGAGCAATGGGTCAATTAGTTCTATGAGATATCACCAGAGAATCCCATGATACTGTGGAACAAACTATTAGTAGGTCTTGTTGCACAAATATTTTGGGGCTTTATCTCATGACAAGTGATGAGGACATCTATACACTTTTGTCTGGCATTAAAACATTGTGCTGTGACAAAGGTGGCACTTCCAGCTTTGCGACTCCCTGGCTGTACTCCTGTTTGGGGTGCTGCTTCCAGCCCTCCAGGGCTGGCATCACAGGGCCAGCCATGTGGGGCCTGAGTCAGCCAGCACGGAGCATGATATGCTCGTCTTCCCCTATGTTCAGCTCTGGCCCCATCCATGTGTACCTTTCTCTCTGGATCCCCAGGGGTGCCAAATGGATCTGGAAGGAGGTGTACACCCTTCTGGTGCTGTGGGGCAAGGAGGCAGCTTGCCCAGGTGAGTACCTGAATGTCCACATTTATGAAGCTGTGGATGCTGCGATGCATGCATGGAGCCAGTGCTGTGTGAAGGCCAAGGACCTGCAGGCCCAGTGGGTGGCTGTGACTGGCTATAATCATCAGTTTGTTGGGGCCATGTTGTAGCCCTGTGGGTTCAGGCCAACTCCCAGGATCTCAATATTGTGCTGTTAGACAGGAGGGTGTGACACAATTGCACATATACAAACACTCAAATCAATTAGGTGCATACACATGCACACTACCAGCTCAGGCACTTACACATCCAAACCTTCCTAGGCACATGCATACCTATCACCAATTCAAGCACATACACTATACACCCCAAAAGTTTGACACAGATCACTAATTCATATATCATGCACACAATGCAATATATATATATATATATACACACACACACTAGTTCACACACATACAACCCACCTAAGTTCCTAACTTTGATGGTACAGTGTGTGTGCGTGTGCTTGGGGTACCTGGGATACTTGCAGGAAGGTTCAGGTAAGATAGAGAGTTAAAGTTGCCAGAACCAGGATTAGAACTGGTGGACTACAGAGAAACAGGCTGAAGACCTGAGGCCTGGGTTTACTGGGACTGACTGGGGTTGGAAACTGAGGCAGACAGGTGAGATATTGGGGGGTGGGGGGCAGATAAGTGGTGGCAAGGAGGAGACAGCCAGGAAAGAAACTGAGGCACAACGGAAAAGGAAAAGACAGTGGGGAAGAAACAGGAGGTTTGGAAGCAGAGAGGAGCTCAGGACAGGTGTTGGAGGTGGCGGTGAGCCAGAAGCAGGAGAAAAAGAAATGAGATAGATGTTAGAGGGGTGAGGAGCAGAGACTGGAGCAGGGCCAAACCATAGTAAAGCAAAACCCAACTTAGGGGTCCAAATAACAGTTTTATTACACAGACAACACACTACACAGCCCCATGAAGTTATTGGTTCACACACACACACACACACACGCGCACACACACACACACACACACACACACACACACACGTATTCACAATGGCAGCAGGAGAAAGAGACTCAGTGGAAGGGCTGGAGTCCAGGTAGGGAAGAGAAGCAGAGTCCAAGTCCTTGGTTGAAGAGGGGGTTGGGTGGGGGGGGGTGATAACTACCTATCCATGCTGGAAAGGGGTCCTTGTCCAGTAGGTGTTGTCCAGAGGGGGGTTACTGGCAAGGCCTCTTGGTGGATAGGTGGTGTGGCATGGTGCTGGTTCAGATGGAGAGGGCATCCCACTGGGTCTGTCTTCACTGCCCCTTTTTATAGTGACAGACCTTGTGTGACCCTAGTGACAGGAGGCATGCCCAGGCAAGGATCAGCCCCTGGTGTACTGAGCATGTGTGCTCCATGCAGGGATGTGCAGTTTCGGGTGTCTGTAATGGTGGGGTACAATGGTAAAGTTGCTGGCTCCGCAGGGTCTTTTGTCTTTCAAATGCTGGGTTCTTGTCTCTGTTCCTGGGTGAGGTCTGTTGTTCCTGGATGAATCGATGCGAGGTAATGGCCCAGTCGTTACAGGCCATTCAGTAGAGGCTTGCTACCATTTTATTTCAATCATTCCCAATCACTCTCATTCATCCGGGAACCAATTTACATGGGAGGGGTATGTGACTTATACAGTTGCAACACAGGGGATGCCCGGACAGAGGACAGAAGATGGAGACTTGACATACAAAATGGAAACTTGATATTACTTTGGTTAACTTACATACACAGGCCTAAACCATACAATATCCATATGAAACAATAAAAATGTATATGAAAATGATAATAATACAATATACAACAGTCAGAATCAATACAAACGTAATAATAATACAATATAAAACAGTGGACATCCAAAACCAAAAACTTGCTACCAAAATAAAAATGTTAAAGCTAATCCTAAGTCTGAGCTCACTTATGCTTGTCTATAGGGAATAGAGAGGGAGAGAAAGAAAAGCCAGAAATAATTGGCGAAGGTAAGGGACTGCATATCTATAATATATATTTGTATTAAAAAAGAAAAACCGGGGGTTTTGCTACACTGTAACAGGGAGGCCTTCTTGGGGCTGATTTCGCCCTTGGCCCGCCCACCTGTTTCTTGGCCAACTGCCTGCCTTCTCTCCTGCCATGCCTTGTTGTTAATTAATTCATGATCTTAATTAGGTGGGAGGCTGCCCATTTCTTGCCCCGATGCCTGGGAGCGCTATCTGCTCCTCCATTCCTCCCCAAAACCGCAGTGCACACGTCACAGATGGTATTTATAAATTCCTCTTTATGTTGGGGTCTCAGCCACTGTTGGCTTACCCCTTCTCTCTCTAGCTAGACCTGTCAGGCAAAAAACCCCACCCCACTAATTGGGGCTTCACTCCAAGGCTCTAGCTCTCAAAAGTCACTTGGGCTCCTGCACCCTCTCTGGTGCTGGGGTCTACTCCACCCTGCCCACCCCCACCCCAAATACTGCACCCTCTCTGGTGCTGGGATCCGCACACCCCTGGATATCATACCAACAGTGGTGCTGGGGTCCCCACACTGCGGTGGGTCCCAATGAGACCTCCTCCTTTCCCAAATAGCCTCATCCCAGTCCTCCGGTTATTAACATTCAACGCAAAACATAGGCTTCTATGGCCATATAACGGAAAAATAATAATAAAGAAATAAGAGAGGCAACATGCCTACTTACTTTAGATGACAGCGTGGCGTATTCTTCCGAAAGAAGCTGTGGCCATGGCACTGTGGTCATTGGGAGTCCCCCTATCTGCTGCCCCTCTGGCCTTCTCCACTCACCGTTTATAGGGTTCTGGCCTTCCCCTTCCTGTCATCTGACTGGGTGGCAGGGCTTGAGCCTTAACCCTTACTTGATCGGTGGACATGACTGGGAGGTTCTAGATTTAAAGGGAACACCCTGCAATGTTCCCTCTAAGGAGTACCGGTCCATGAGCGTGCCGCTTTGGTCCATGAGTGCACTGCTTTAGAGCCGGCGGAGCCCACAGAGCAGTTCTCCCATGCTTGCCCGTGCATGCAGCAGTGGGAGCCGCCCTCCCTGCATCCCCATGGCCCCCAAGTGAGCTGCTCATGGCTCCATCCCATGCCTGACACTGGATGGGCAGCGCCTGTTAGTGCCCCTTCGCTTCAGCACACAGGGCAGTCATCCTGCTTGCCCCTACCCTGTTATGGCACAGTGTCTTCCCTCTCCCTATAATTTGGTAAAGTTTCAAAGAGAATCTATGATGTGAGGAACAGAAAATGATTTTGAAGAGAAGGCTTTTTTGTCAAGACTAAAAATTTAACCAACAGCCAAACTTTTATCTGTTCCATTTAGCGGTCTGATTTATTTTTAATAACTGATTTTTGTTTAAAATATAAAAAGCAATTTTACTAACTAGCATAGAGCTTTTAGATTAAGGGCTTCTGTTTCCCTAACAGCTTGCTGCAGACCAAAATATTTTTCCATTACTAGCTAGTGAGCAGTGATCCGTGGGCTCCACCGGCTCTGGGGAAATGCTCCGCTCTCCAGGCCTGATGCCACGTGCCTCCTCACTTCCTGAGGTGATGCAGGAGGGAGGAGCTGTTCCCTGGAGTTGGAGGAGCCTGCACCAGCCCCCGCCCGTGTCCCTGACCCTGTCCCCGTCCCTGTCTTGGGCAGGAGCTGCTGCCTGCCCTGCAGTGAGGAGCTTATTTAAGTGTCCCATGCCAGCTCTAATGTCTCCGCCGCACTCAGTGTCAAGCTCTTCTCTCGGCGGGTGCGGGGCCTGTAAAACTTCATGCATGGCAAGATTTTTCATTGTGTGCGGCTATGCATGCACCCACCTTAGAGGGAACACTGCCACCTTGTCTCTTGGTAACAGAGATAGGGTTCCCTGTTACAGGCCCGCAGGACCATGGCTCTCATGTAGGAGCTGACCCATATTCTGGTGCCCTGGCTGCTTCTGCCTATACCCCACCTTAATATCTCTGGAAGAGGGGACCTCAGGCCATCAGTGCTCCATCCTGAACTCCTGCCTTGGCTTCCCTGAGGGAGCCCTGGCCAGCAGCTGGCTTGGCTTTTGCCCTACCCTGAAACTGCTGATGAAAAGTGGCCGGCCACACCACTGCTGGTCGGCAGCAGCACCAACTCCTCCTAGGGGGAGAAGAGGGACTTTGGCTTGGCTTTGGCCCTTAGCCCACCAGAGGTCATAGACACCAGGTGGAGCCAAATGCTGCCTGACATGGGGAGCCCTACACCAAGCTGCCAGCCTTGCCTGCCCCAGATCTGTGGTAAGTCTCACACTGGGGGAAGGGCCCTTCCAGTTCCAGTTCCCATCCCTGCCCCTGCCCCTACACCTTGCCCTGGCCCTAGGCCCAGCCCCGTCCCCCCATACTTCCCCAATCCACCTACCTTGGTCCCAGGTTCCTCCCCACAGCACATAGAGAGGTGAGACACAGCTCAGAACTTTATTGAGTGGGCTGTGTCTCTGTAGCTGGGTGAGAAAAGGCCTCTCACATACTGAAAAAGGTGTCAGTCCCAGTGGCAATTTCCTCCTTGGCAGCCGGGATCAGGAATTTGCTGTGCTAGATAGGCCTCTAGGCAGTGGCAGAGGTTGCAGAGCAGTCTGGGCTTGCCCTCCATATCATTGTAGCTCAGGGTCCTGATCCAGGAGTGCAGGTATGACTGGGGCACTAGCAAGATCATCATCAGCAGGGTGTAGTGGCCTGGGATGCCCTCTGCCTGCACAAAAAGCCCATTGTGAACCACCCACAGCACACTTAGTAGGGGTATGCTCATGGCACAGCAGCATTTTGGCTGGGGGCTGAACCCTGTGTGCCTCCCTGGAGAGGTCCCAAATGTTGAGGGCGAGGGTGTGGCCAGCCCCTCACCCCAGTTCTCCAAGAGTTCTGTGTGCAGTTAGGCTTTTTTTCCAGGGGCTGGGCATCAGCATGGCATAGCAGTGGGCCTGCAGGGGTGGGTCAGGGGTCAGTTGGGGCTGGTGCTGCAGCAGCTGGTGCTGCCAG